ATGGTGGTGCCACAGGTATGAGTGCAATGACCTTAGTAGGATGGGATACTCCTGAGACATTCCTTTTTGAGAAGAGAACCGAAGAGAGCCTTGCAGTTGACTGAGTCAATAGTGTCAATTAGATAAAGGGACATGGATAACGTTCGTCAGTCTGGTTTGACGTAACTTGGGGACTTGATACAACGTAAAAAGTACATCAATATACAGGTGGGAATCTAGCCTGGTACTGACGAAAAGCGAGAAGCCCATCAGACTCTACTGGTTTTGCTCTCTACAATGATTGGATGCAGGACCGTACTTCTATTCCTATGGGAGGATCATGTGACATTGTCCACAGAATTTAAACCTCAATAGATGATTATTTAGGTGGCGTCAGGTTAGCTGAACTGTTCGCTGAAATACTCCGCCAAGCGGTCCAGTCGTTGTTCTCTATTTTAAACAGTTTGTTCCCTTTTATTGCAGAACGTTTCGCTAACGGATTCGTCGACCTCCGGTGTTGCGTTTCAGTTGGAACAGTCTTTGACCATGATGCAAATGCACCTTCCATTTAATTAACTAGTTTCGCCAACCAGTTTTTACTTAACTTCTTCAGCTGATGGTGCAGAGGCCGTTAATCGCTGTTTTTGATCCGAACCGGTACAGATTTGTCGCTCTTTTATGCATCATGTAGGCTTTGTGCCTACGGATATTATTACAATACAATACAATATCGGTTTCTAGTTTGTTCAACTGTTAACCATACACTTTCGTGCGCCGGTTTTGGTTGCTGTCTTTCGGTGGCCTATTTGGATGAAGGGGTAGAAAGATCGGAAAGTAGGGTCGAAGGGAAAATGAGGAATTCCGGCAGACCACAATTGCAAAGAAATTGAGATGAGCCAGCGTCACTGTCGATGCATCAGATTTACTGACACATGCCCTGTGCAGAAATTAAGAGGTCGATTGTCATTATCTGTTCACTGACAGTACAGCACGACGGCCACCTAGACAAGCTTCGATATACTGTTTTCTAACCAGTGCAATAAAAACACCTGCCTCAGCTGCTGTTCGGTAGGATGAGTTCGATGAACTTGTCCCATTAAGGTTGCAGTTGGCGGCCGCATGTGCTGAAAGGATGAACAAACAAATTCTGATGTTGATTCCCTTTCGAACACTAAGTGCATTCAGGGCCAGGGCAAATAAACTAATACTGACGGGTGTCAAAACAACCAGTGGGGCAACAGGTATTTTTTCGCTTAAGACGCCTACTCTGCGCTGAGCGAGCGAGAGAAAGAGATTAGTCCTCTCTTGACGTGCGAAGGAAATAATTTGTCGACTATCCCGGCTCAACAAAGTCCCTTATATCACTAGGATCTTGTATTCACGTCGCCGATAAGTAGCAAACGTTGGTCGCTACGAAGAGTATTGTACGAGCATGACAAAATGGTTGACCAACTAGTACGAGGATTCTCAGGTTGAAGACTCTCATGGATTGATGAAGCTTCGGAATTCAAAATTTCTTCAGTGGCACACTCTTGATAATGTTACAGGGCGATAAAAGAAATATCTGCGGGAATGTTATAAGCCGAAGAGAAAGAAAAGAGCGAAAGTGAAGAATACGGAGGACAAATAATCAAATGATGATTTTGATAGCTAACAAGCAGCAAACTTGTTACTTTACATTCCGCTCGATGTAGTGATCAGCGCGGTTCTATTGTTTTGAGCGACAACCGGTGCAGTGTGATTCTTTTTAATTTAATGTACGTATTGGAAATACAATTACTAAGCAGGAGAACGACTTGGGTTCTAGAACGAAGCCTTTAGCTTTTAGAACTTATCTGTAAGGCAGTGGATATTGCGAAATGCCAGCCTATGAACTCGGACCGATTACTTCACCATTTTACCGATTTAGACGCTCACTGGAGTGCAACCCCTAACCTGAAGGACCAGGAAACTGAACGCTAAGTGACCTCTATCACTGAACCTTCCCGAAGTTATATATAAATATATTACACACGTCTGACTTCACACTGTGTCAAACAAAGCACAGTACAAAGATCTTTATAAAATAAAAGAGTTTTATTATCTGCTTGTGGAACTGATACTGCCAGGTTATCCAGGCCCACGTTATAACATATGATTTTTACAGAAGCTCCTCTGTGTAGCTCACAGGGTTACAGAAGCGCACAAGACATCAGACCAAGTCAAGATGCCGCTCTTTCGTGATGGTAAGCAAGCAGTCACCATCCCGATAGAGGCAATCTATTTTTCGTTCGGTGTAAACAACCATAGATTGCAGTCAGATAACCTTCGCCAAAAGCTACACGACTACTTGTGCAAAGCGAATCTGGATGGTATCGTGAATTTAGAGTAGATCGAACGAGATGTAGTTGACGGGTGCTTTTGGGCTCGACTACTATCGGAAGATAGAGAGCGGTGGTGGGATTTACGTTCTGATGCCTTGGCAGCAAGAACTGCAAACGATCCTATTGCAGTCGTATCAGTTATATTATATTTATATTTCATACTTGTCTGAGGTCAATATGTGTGCCAGGCAAATCATGGTACAGTAATCTTTATAAAAACAAAAATGTTCCATGATTGGCTTGTGG